TCATCATCGTCATAATCATCACTATGTCGGCATTCTCTGAAAAAATTGTGTAAGTTAGAACTAGATACTTCAAAGCCACTTCATTTTGAATTAGAGCGTTGCGGTTCGAACATCATTTTCAAATAACTAGCATTTCTTTGTCATCTTGAATCGGAGGATTCATTCAACTGATTGTGGAGGTAGAGTGGGGGATGATAAATGTCCCATATTTTAGAAAATCATGATCACGTTATTATAGTCAGCAAATGACTACAACATTTATTTATTTCAAATGGCAGGCGTTTTGATAGTTATCATTAGCCCTTTAGCTGACTTCGGGCTTCACAGGGGGAAGGAACATCGAAGTAGACAGAAAGTCGAGGGATGGGGAACAGAAGAGTGGTTTAGAATTGTAAAAGAGATAGACACAAAGGCAGAGAAAAGGGAGGATGATTACAGTGGAAGTGATAGAATATGGCATCCAGTGGGGTTATGGTAGTTTGAAGTCAGAAGTCAACCGCCGGTTAATAGAATTTTTTGCCGTATGAGTATACGTTGCCCAGGGTGTACCACGTGGAGATAAGTCTATTGCACACGCCAGTCTATCGCACACCCAACAACAACACCCGACTACAACTTTGAGTGGTAGCAGCGGATTTGTCTTAATATATGACAACACGTGTTCCACGATGAAATTTTCCACAAATAAGCATTTTTTGTCAGGGTTCATCTAATACCATTCCCTTAATGTTGCTGTTAGTTAAGCTCTTTATCGCTCGTCTGTGTAACGGAAATTTCCATTTCAGAACCTCTACGTTACTCAATTGCTACTAAGATTGCCTTCTTAACAGTTTGCCTATCCCACGATTGAGGAAACTTTAGGAGAAATCAGTTAAATTGTTTTTGTAAACATCATTTGGCTAACAGAATTAAGACATAAACATTCATTTACCTCATTAAAATAGTTAAAAAATGTAGAGATGGTAATTAGGAGTGATAAATGCAGATCAATCATTCGGATCGTATGCCCTTTTCAGTTAATTGCGTGTTCACCTTTGTTTTCCCCTCTTCTTCATTGTAATCAAATTAAAACAATTTGTGGCGATTTCGCGTCATCTTTATGAGCACTCGCTTATTCCTAAGTTGAATCGTGGTGGCCGAGTAACTTCCCCTACATTTTATTCATTACTAAAAACGAGTTCTAAATAAATTATGGCCCAGCTTTAGAGGAAGTAGACTTTTGGTACGAAATACATTTATTTTGTTATTTAAACAGTTATTAAGCTCTTATTGTAACCTGGTGAGTCCTCTGAAAGTGTTTGCTTTAAACTACTAAAGTGAAAAACGAAATAGACGCCAAGGGTGCACGGAGAGTTTTCAGTCTCCATACCAATGAAAGCGCAAATTTTATTCTCACAAGTTGAATTATGCCAGTAGAGGCACGAAGGAATACGAAAGTGCTCCATTTGGATGAAGACGAAATGGCTTCCAAAATGGTTTCCTCATTATAATAGTGTTTAAAACATCCATCATTCCAATGGTACAAGTTAACATCTTTCAACCCAATTTTATATGAATGAATGACCCCATTGTGATCGATAGCCAATGTCATAAATACAGGCTGATATGAGTGATAATGATTAGATGCAATAACTAGACGTCTTTTGTCTGAGTAGCCATTCGAAATTATTTTTTTAACCCTAATACTGCTGTACGCATAACGGAAATACACACTGTGAGCCCCCAAGGCACTTGCAAGTATTGAGTTTCGAATTTTTCTGCTAAGATCTCATTAACAGTTAATAAATAAAGGTTAAGTGAAATGCGAATTTCGGTGGTCCTTGAGACACTTTGAGGGTTTATCACTTTTGTAATTCAATCAAATGTTCTCATCGTCTTTCGCAAATTTGAAAATTGATTCGAAAACTAATAATGATAATAATTCAGTGTTCGAAATATTCGATGGTGCCTTTCCAATGCGTTGTTTTCCTAAGAACAGCAGAAATATCTCAATCATTTGACTTCACATTTGGAAATTATACTAGAAATACCTAGAAATACTTCATTAGTTCCACAAAGAAATAAAGATAGGGCGACACAGATAAGTAGTTGCCACGCTTTGTTCGGTGGTGTTTCGAGCCTTTATGAACAGTTGACACTTTTGTAATTCAATCAAAACTTCGCATCGTCCTACGCTAATTTCAAAAGTGGTTTTGAAACTATTAGTAATAACTATTCGATGATGTTGTTTGCTAAAGAACTACAGAAACATCTCAATCATTTGACTTTACATTTTGAAATTATGCTAGAAATACCTAGAAATACTTTATTGGTTCCACAAATGTTCTAATCCATTCACACGCACTCTTCACACCAATTCCATAACAAAGCCTTATCCATTAAAAGCCCTTTTTACATATTAGTTTAATTTAACCAAGTGCACATAAATGGCATTTTAATTTACTCAATAACCCATATTCCATTTAATTTTGATTGAATTGACTTTCCATTTCTTCTAGTCATCGTGCCAATATCTGCATAGCATGGCCTCGTCAATAATCGCACTATTAATACTCGAATTATTTAACGTGACATGAAACATAATTGAATTCATGCTGAAGGAGGCAATAGAGGGGAGCTAAACTACTCCTCAAATGACTGTCAACGTGGCCAACATTTGACGGAAGATTCATTTTTGACTTTGTACGGCTTAAATAATTTACTCTGTCAATCTGTTGAAATCAATAGTAAAGTTTGAAATTTTAAACGCAATTCCTTTGAATTTTCTCACAAAGCTAATGAAATTTCAAATTTAAACACGATTGGAAAGTTTGGTGAGTGAGTTAAAATGTGATCAAATATAACATACCTAATCAAACACTTCTATATCACAGAAGGAGTCATATGTATTTGGTAAATTGAAAGAGGTGCAAAAATTCAAGCTCTGAGTTGCGTTTATTGAACCATTTAAATATCACCACGCAAACAAGTACAATGAATGTGAAGAGTTGCATGTGACAAGAAGTCGCTACAGCTAAATAATTCGGTGAAATATCGTAAGAAAGCCAAGTTGATTTACAAGCATCCTGGCAACACTGACTTAACCATCCATTTGAGCAGTGTAATTCAACTATTTAATTGATGCGAAATGCAAGCTTAGAGAAGTTCCTATTTCAACTTTTGAATATACTAGAAAACTTCTGCATATTGAACGTTGATCAGTTGAATCTGCACCACAACAACTGCTGTGCCAAGACGAGTTTGGGTAACTTTCCAATGTCGCTCTATTTTTATAGATTTGAGAGAACCCTTGTTTCACCGACTTTATCATTACTTCGAATAGTGAAGCCTGACTATTCGATTCATGATAAAAGTCTGATGATCAAGGAACCTCACAACCGTTTACAATGTTTTGCTCATTTGAACAAATGTGCTAATTTATGTTTAGAAAATCGGTTTTATAAATTCTTCATCAATGTTCATGAACTACTTAGTAATGAAAATCCATCTTTGCTCTTCTGCAGATTTGTAGGAATCTGAAAATCAAATCTAGAGGACGTATTCTATGATTTGGACCAGGGTTTCCCTTTAATTCGGCTGAATTTCTCAAGTTATACAAATAAAGGTTTTTGCGGCGTCAACCAGTTTACGTACAAACAGTTGTTTGACGTACACAATGTTCTCTCACATTTACGAAAGTGTTTGAATGAATCTCTGTCTATTGTTAGAATTCTCATGTTAGTAGTTTGATTATAACGCGTCAAGGCATCCCACCACAACACGTTTTTAACCACATGTAACTCACCATTCCTTACTGCGCGCAATCGAGTCCACTAAATTTAAAGGGACTAAAGTGCAAAAAGTCTCCTGGCGAAGACGGTATTCATCCGGAATTTCTAATAAGAATAGGACCAAAAGCCAAGAAAACCATGCTGACTCTTTTCAACAAAATCTGAGAGACCAGTCGCATACCTAACCAATGGAAAGTTGCCAGAGTAATACCAGTACTAAAAAGATCAAAGACCCTAGCAACTTTTAAAACTATAGGAAAAGATCAAAGACCCTAGCAACTTTTAAAACTATAGGCTTTTCTCCATTACAAGAGTGTTGGCTAAACCTATGGAAAAAATGGTTAACAGGAGGCTGCCCGGTTTCTTGAAACCAACAATTTTCTTAGGAATGAACATGAAGGCTTTAGGCCGCAAAGATCAACTAACTAACAAGTAGCTGCTTTCTCCCAACATATCAAAGTAACACTTGATGCGAGAAATACTCTTGCGGCTGCATTCGTCAATTTAAAATCAGCATATGACTTAGTACTGAAAGAGAAGGTAGTTCTAAAATTGGCAAAGATTGGTGTTAAGCATAACATGCTAAACTGGATAAAAGCATTCATTGGACAAAGACCATGTAATGTCAGATATGGAAATGCTCTATACAAATCCAATCTTTTCCAAGCAGGCCTTCAACAGGGACCCGTCACATGCTGCACTCTAGTCAATGTCTTCATCAATGACATAGCCGCGTTAGTACAGACAGCCACGGGCGTTAAGTGCTTACTTTATGCAGATGATCTTGTTCTATGGTATTCCGCCCTTAAGAAAAAATCGCTCAGGAGAGGACGGAAAGTGCCCTAAATTGGGCACTTAAACTACAGAAAACTCTTGCGACAACAATAAAATGGTTATCAACACAGCGAAAAATGCATTCCAAGCATTTTCTTTGGCCCGTCACAGCATAAATCCGCTTCTAATATACAAGGATACNAAATCTCACCCTTCACAAACACTCCTATCACAGGGAGCTGTCACAAACTGCTCCCTTTTCAACGTCTTCATCAATGACATAGCTGAACTGGGACAGAAAGTTACGGACATCAAGTGCTTACTTTATGCAGATGATCTTGTTCTCATCAAGTGCTTACTTTATGCAGATGATCTGGTACTATGGTTGCTTACTTTATGCAGATGATCTGGTACTATGGTATTCCGGGCTTACTTTATGCAGATGATCTTGTTCTATGGTATTCCGCATCTAAGAAAAACGCTCAGGAGAGGACAGAAAGTGCCCTAACTCCGTGCACTTAATTTACTAGCAAACTGGTGCGACAGCAATTGAATGGTAATTAACACAGCAAAAACCCCATTCCAAACTTTTTCTTTGGATTGTCACAGCATAAACCCACTTCTAAGGTACANACATGAAGGCTTTAGGCCGCAAAGATCAACTAACTAACAAGTAGCTGCTTTCTCCCAACATATCAAAGTAACACTTGATGCGAGAAATACTCTTGCGGCTGCATTCGTCAATTTAAAATCAGCATATGACTTAGTACTGAAAGAGAAGGTAGTTCTAAAATTGGCAAAGATTGGTGTTAAGCATAACATGCTAAACTGGATAAAAGCATTCATTGGACAAAGACCATGTAATGTCAGATATGGAAATGCTCTATACAAATCCAATCTTTTCCAAGCAGGCCTTCAACAGGGACCCGTCACATGCTGCACTCTAGTCAATGTCTTCATCAATGACATAGCCGCGTTAGTACAGACAGCCACGGGCGTTAAGTGCTTACTTTATGCAGATGATCTTGTTCTATGGTATTCCGCCCTTAAGAAAAAATCGCTCAGGAGAGGACGGAAAGTGCCCTAAATTGGGCACTTAAACTACAGAAAACTCTTGCGACAACAATAAAATGGTTATCAACACAGCGAAAAATGCATTCCAAGCATTTTCTTTGGCCCGTCACAGCATAAATCCGCTTCTAATATACAAGGATACTACCATAGAAAAAACAATGAGTTCACATATCTCGAAATGACGTTTGACACAAAGCTAACGTGGAAAAGACATATTGCTAAAATAGCAGAACGAGTCTCCAATAGACTGAATGTACTGAAGCGTCATGCTAGTAGCGTATGGGGCTGGAGGGATTAAATCAACACCCATTGATGCAATGCTCCTAGTTACAGGAAGCACTACGATATGTTCCCTTATCAAAGAAAAGGCCTTGATCCTGTTTGAGAAGCAATTGCGCATTCCCATGGATAAATTCTTCAGCACCTCTGTGAAAAAAACAATACATCTGAAAATGCAAACCTGTCTAAAACAGAAAGCTTGAGAACTGAAGAAAGCATTTAAATCGATTATAAACCAATAATCTTCACTCTACACATGAACCCATTAGAATACACTGATGTTGTGTGTTGCTCCCAAATGCTTAATTATTCAGGAAAGCAAACACATCTCCAAAATAAATGCGCTCACTGGTCCTTGAGAAATTAATGTCAACTATCCTGCAGATCAATGGCTCCAAGTCTTCACTGATGGGTCCTACATAGAAAACTAAGCAAACGTTGGTGCAGGTGTCTATTCTGAACTCTTCTCTTTCTACCCAGCAGCGAGACACAATAGATCCGCTGTTGAAGGAGAAATAGAGGCCATTAGGGTAGCACTATGCCAATTATGAAGGCCTTAATCAGAAGAGAATTTAAGACCTCAAGGTGCAACGAACTTAAAGCTCGAACAAAGGAGAAACAGTAGACAGTGGCACTCTCCGACGTAGCCGATTGGCCAAGAATCGAAGCCTTTGCTGAGTTAAGACTATGTACCGGGCCACGATTGTCTGGCAAAACAATTTCACAGATTGGGAGTATGCACTCAACCCACATGCCCACTATGTAACCGACAGGAGGAAACGGAGAAGACCCACCTGATCTGTTGTCCAGCTCTAAAGACAACGACGGAACCCAGAGATACTGGTGAGCTAGAAGACAGCTAATAAACGGCTATTAATTAACTGCTATGTATGTACCCCCCATTGGGGGAAGCTGAAGTCAAAGTTTAAATGCTAATGATAAATATCATAAAGCCTGCCATTTGAAAAAAGCTATTAATGAACATTTATTTATATCAAATAACAGGCGATTTGATAGTTATCATTAGCCCTTTAGTAGATTTCAGGCTCAACAGAAGAGAAGGAACATCAGAGTGGAAAAAGTCGAGAGGGGGGGTGTGGAATAAAGGAACAGACACAAAGCATAAAAAAGGTGAGGCGAGTAATGTGAAAGTAGTTAAATATGACATACATCGGGGTCATGGTAGTTTGAAATAAACTGCCGGTTATTAGACCTTTTTTGCCCTATGAGTATACGTTGCCCATGGTGCACCACGTGGAGGTAAGTCTTTCGCAAACCCCTATTAATGAACATAAATTATGATTTCTTTTGAGCTTATTTAAGTTTGAGCTCTTAAGTGTTTTTGAGCAACGCCCCCAAATAAAAAATACATCATGGCAAGAGAATGAATAACTTCGTAATGATAAGAAATATATTTAAAAAGCGATAATTGGGTATTTTATTTTACCAAATGACAATGAATATCTTGTACGAAGGAGACGACACCATTAGATGCTCGTGCTTGAAGATATTGGCAGATTAACGATGAAGGTTATAAAAAAGTTCTGTAAGTATAACGTTGATAATTAAGGAGTTATATACAAATCGATAATCTTGAAAGTAAAATTTTCGAAAAGGGTACATTAACTGGTACTAAGATTTCGCAAGTAAAACTGCTAAATACAGTTTAATGACGCAATGCTACATGTATGGCATAACTGGCTCATCAAAATATTTAGTATGACAAAAATTAAATCAGTGTATGTATCTTCGTTATTGATTTAAATTGATTTACAGTAATGACCAGCGGGGAAACTCCATTTTTTCATCTTCATTCTAAAATATTATGCGATTTAACATAAATTTAAAACCATTTTTTAATGAATAGCTACAACTTTGTGTACTTAGGTTTGCATTCAAGATGTCTGGCACTTTATTTCGACAACATGTGGATCCTTCTCCACTTTTTCAATGAATCCGTAACAACATTTTCATATTTTTCTCTAAAGGAAAATAAACAGTAAAAAATCATTTGGCTTGTATTCATATGATTTTCCAATTAACCAAGTTTAACGAATACAGTAGAGCCTTATGGAAAATACCCATTTAGAATGACAATATGAAGCGACATTGTGCAATGGAGTTTCCCTATCTTTCATAGATTTGAATATAATTTGTGTGCAAATTAGGGTTAAGTAAAGGAGCATCATGGAAATAAAAAATTGCACATTAATCGTTATTGTACCTTGTAAAAACACTGAAGATAATTCAATCATTCACTGCAAATTAACTAAGAGCGGAAGATATTCAATTAGGTCCTTAAAGCTAAATCGAAAATAGTCCTATATTTTTTAATTTTAGTTAATAGTTCTTTATCAAAACGCACCATGGACGCTATTATAGCTCTAAATTGTACTATTTAACAATTTTTTCCGGGTTTACCATAGTTGTTTTATTTCTTATAAAGTCACCTTTTCATATTTGTTTTAAGGTTGTCATTGTTTAAGCGTTTGAATAGGAGTGCATAAGGGTTGGTTGACGCTTAAACCTTTGCAAATAACCCTACTAAAATCCATTCCTTTCATTGATATGTCTTTTTTCAACCAGCGTTTGCATTGTAAATGGTACTGAATGACGTTTGGACATTTATCTTTTATCTCCTTCCTTAGAACTATCTTGAATTTATTTGGGATTCTTGATATTTGTCTTGCTTAACTTAATTTGAAGCTTACATCATCACCATTAACATTACTTCTTCATCTGTCTTTCACTCGGCAAGCTGCTTGTGGTCATTATTTTTAATAGCGAATTTCCACCTATGCAGTAGGTCATATAATGATAAACGCTGAGTTGTATCATTGTAATAGTGGAGTAAAATTATTTTCAACAAATATGCAAAGTGGAATTTTTTAATTGATTACAGTCATTACACAAGTATGGTTAAAGACATTAATTTTTTAAATTTCCACTCTCGGTGTCAACCGTTGTACTTATGTAGTTGAAAAAATCAACAAAGTAAATACATTTGAAAACTGGGGAAAACTGGCAATGGGAACCAATGTTAAATAAAATAAAACTCAAAAGGATTTTGAATGAGGTGTTAACTTATTTTACATATCAAACGGAATTTGGTTAGTTTTTTAAACCTTATAATTATTGTACATTTTGCTGACTGTGCTAAATGCGAAAGAAAGTTTTTATTTTCGCATCTTAAGTCAAAATGGCGTTGACATGGAAGTTGTGGAGAATCATTTTGGTAGCCAAGTGTAATATAGGAAGTATCGTTTCGTAAACAACTGCACTAACGCAAATTCTGAAATTGATTTCTCACATCAAGGTCGTTCAAAAATAATTGATGAGCAATTTAATTGACAAATAAAAGCTAATGCTCTCTAAGTGCGTCATGCATAAACAAAGAAAATTATCCCATTTCAAAGCCTTAATGAGATTTTATTTCATTGTGTATAATCGTAAGTAGTTCAAATATGGAACTTTTTGAGGTTAAACCCAACAAAGCAAACAACCCTTCGCATAAAATTACTCGAATCAACGAAATCACTCAATTTCAGTAGCCTCACCCTTACCCCTATGTCTGAAATTTTTTTAGAGCTACTCTTAAAAGTTTTGCGATTTAAATGCCAAAGAAGCAATATCATAATACCGAAAATCTCTTCAATATCATCATAAAACATCGATTTGAATAAATATTTCTTTTAAAGAAACACTCATTTATAATAATGCTCCATGTCAGAATAAATCGATTCATTATACACGTCTTAATAATTAGGTTGTTATCTACTACTTAATTCTTACCTAGTCAATTTACATTTCAATCTCGAACAAAACATTTTATTTGAAATATCCAATTGCATGCGTCTCTGTTTCAGTCAACAATTTTTAAGAAATAATTGCCATGCTTTGTGATACATACATTAGATTTCACTATAGAACACGAAAATTTAAAGTTAGAGGTGTTCTAGCTCGTTTAAGCACTTGTATTTTTTAGCATCTTGGATTTTCTTTATTTATTCTAGTAATAAGTTCACCATACAAAAAAGTCAAAAATATAAAGAAGATCATTTAAAAGTTTTTATTTTTTAACTACCAAACGTATAATCGTCCCATCTCCTTGCTCCCTCTCTGTCACATGCATAGGCTTGTGCCGTGAAAAACAGAACAGCAAGAAAGATGACGCTCAGAAACTGTATATAATTAAAGCAATATTAGAATTCGTCAATAAAAAATGCAATGAGAAGCAATTAGATTACATTCTCCATCACCACTGTAATAATTTTTAAGCCGGATTTCATAGGTTTCGCTTAGTGTGCTTCTTTTCCACTACCTGGCTGATTTTAAAGATGAGATATTTATTTCTACATGTAGCCAATCAACTCAAAGGCACGTTCCAAAAATTAGCAATATATTTCATTTTCTTTGGTGATTGTCTTGTTTGTTAAAACTAAACCCAAAAATGTATATGAATTTTATTTGATCTATGACCAACTAAAACACGTTTTTCAAAATGGTACCCTTTGTGCCATTAAGCCAAATTGTCAAACCAGGGTTCGTAAGCTTTTACATCGAATTTGATACGTTGTTTCTTTACAAATTATATCTGATTCTTCAATTGTTTAAATGCCGTAAACATCGTTTCATCATCCAGTTTAACTTTAAGTCATAATGATAGACATTAACGATCATATTTTCCGATGTCTACAATTACCAGGCTTTATTATTATCGCATTTTTTTAATTTGAAACATAAATACTTACTGACTGAATGCCCGAAACTATTTTCAAATCCCGAGAGTGCTAGAATCATTCTCCCATTTTGCTATCTTTTCCTTACCATATATAGTAAATATTTATTTTTTAATTTGTTGATTGAAATTCTCTACGGCGCTACTAAATAAATTGATAAAGATCCATTTTATTACTTAGATTTGGTAAGATTGACAGAATATTTCCTTATGATGAAAAATTGATGATAAGATTCAAATTTACTACTCTATTAAAAATAATTAAACGCCAAAAGTTTCCATTTGTTATCATATTTCATTATTTATGAAAATAAATAGGAACTCACTTTATTCAATACGAGCAGCAATATAAATCACTATTAAAGGAAATGAATACACAAAATATCAAAATAATAAATCCGATCATAATGTTCTTTGATTATAAAGGAATTTGGAGATGGCAATCATAGCAGTGTTAATACTAGCACCAAATGTTCTGCACATCTTTGGGATTTGAATTTCGTAAGTTGATTATCAATTAATTTTTGCTTCATTACTTAAAATATTAACCAAACATTAACAAGACATTTGAAGCTTTTCACTGTGTAGTTTATTCGCTATTTTTGTTTTTTCGTCCTGTTGCCGAAAGAGATTATGAAGGGTGTGTATTTTATGCTTATAATCAGTCTTTCTAAATATTTAAAAAGTAAGATTTAGGACAAAGTTAAGCGTCTACATGAAATTGAAATCTGTTTAGGGCTAACCTTAAAATTTAAATAATCAAAATAGCAGGCAAATCTGGCGCTGAATGGTGTCAATATTTGAAATATAATGTGCGGAGTTTAACTTAAATGTTTACATTAGATTTTAAAAATTAAAGCATTGTTTGAAGTAATAGGTTAATTGAGTTTTTAAATGGAAAATGTTAACGTTTTAACTTAAGCGTATGCAGGAAATTTTATTTCATTGGAATAATTGAAGGTAACTGTTTTGTTCCTCATTTCAATTCAAATTTTATTGATGATTGACATGTTGGATAATGTTGTCTGCTAGAAAATAAAAACAAACCTAAAATTAAGCATGACATCATCTATAACTAAAAATTGTAAATTTTAAAATTTGTAAATGACAACTACGTCCTGCTTATTACTACATTTAAAATGATTTGCCCTAAATCTTATTAAAATGTGGAAGGAAATGTGTAATATGTATTCAATGAGAACTGAATCATAATAAAATTTTTCTATCTATGCATGGAAACTGCAATCACCTCGCCTATCCCCAACGCAAATCAAATGCATTTATTTAAATTGATTGCTATTGTATGGCCCTTTTTTCAAGCACAGAATCATGTAGGCCTGTAGGAACCATTTCATTGATTTGATATCCAAATATTGGGATTTTCATTTTATTTATTGTGAAGTAATTCTTAAACTCGAATGTCCATCCCAGCACAAAATTGTTTTGCGCAAAAACGCACTGGTTGTTTGAATAAGATTTCATATTATAGGATAAAACAATAATAATAACCATTTTCCTTAGTCGAGTGAACCATAACAATAACTTCGGTCACTTATCCCAATCTCGAAAATAATGGACATGCATTTGTATATATGTTCGCCTCTAGTAAATTTAATTTAAATCACATTTTACTCTCAACAAAAGTGTGCTCACAGATTATTTGAAAAAAATTTCAACTATTTTTATTTTGACAATTTCATGCATTATCTCTTTTGTGCACAGCTTTAACTAATTATGTTTGTTCAGCAGTGGATTAAATTAATTCTTTTCATTTGTGTACTCATATTTTTTAATAGTTAGTTTGTTTATGGCTCAAAAATTTTCATTTTTTTATCAATTTGATAGCGAAATCCGTTAAAGTGCATCGGGTCGCTGCACTAGGAAAGCCATGACTGGTTCAGAAATCTCTGTTGTAGAATCTTCTATAGCTGACTAGACTATTTGAACTAACTAAGCTACAGATCAGCTATAATGGAAACAGGCGTATTGCATGGAACACGTTTATTTAGGAATTATATTGTGGTAAGATTCAACACGCCGTAAGGCTAGTCATGACCAACACGGCAGATTCGATTA